AAATTTAATATATAAACGAACGGTAAATGAACGAACGTTCACGAACATAACTTGACAAACGAGACTCTTGTTCATATTCGTTCATTTAACTAAACGAATAAAAAAATTTGTTCATATTCGTTCATTTAACTAAACGAATAAAAAAATTTGTTCATGTCCATTCATTTAGTAAATAAATGAACTTCTTGCCGAACGGTTCGCTGAACGTTCGGTTCGTTTACAACCCTACTCGTATTACTCCTTTAATACTCAAGATAAAGTAACATAATACAATTTCGATCACTTGAACCAAATAATAAATTTAAGCATTCAAACCAATTTTTATCTAATAAAAGGACAACACGTATCCCAAATCTGTCACCATCAATTGACATGTGATACCCTTTGCATCCCAGTTGGCATTATCAATACCTTCTTCTCCAAATAGTCAAAACGTCTCATTTTCCAAAAAACCATATCATTTTCGACTCTCTTCCTAAAGATCTCAGAAACCCTTCATCTATCTCTCATGACTAAATTGTTTTGGTCTTTGAGGTGCGTTCAATAAGTATAGTGTTTGAGGTGGTTTCATCTATGGGGTGGAGAAAACCCTAAATCCAGGATAAACCATTCGAGATAAGTGGGTTTTCTTCGAAATGAAAGGAGAAAGGAAGAGGTGGATGATGGAGATAGATAATAAGGATAAGGTTGGATTCTTGTAGTTGCACCCATTTTTTTAGTGGAGATTCTTGTAGATTGGTGCCCCTTCGTTGGTTGGTGATTGTAAGGGTAAACATGGGAAACTTCATCTCTGTCTCTGGAAAGACACATTTCTAACTCTGTCTCTGGACAGAACACGGTCAGAGCATGATAAATAGTCAGAGTTGTGTTTTTTCATTTGGTAAACAACCCACCTCTTACTTGGGTAAGAACATCCTACCGGTAAGAGGTGGTCAGAAGCAAGTAAACAAGCCCTAAGTATTCGGGTAGAGAAACTGATAAGAAAACAAAAAGTACTTGGTTTTTAAAATGGTAGCGATGGTGTTCGAAATTTGTTGGCCGTAACCTTTAGTAAGAAAAATGTCACACACTTTGGCTAGGTTTGTGGTGAAAGATGGAACTTTTTTAAGTCGTAGAGGGTAAAGGGTTTAAGGAGCTTGTTCAAAGCGTGCAAGCTAAGTTTGATGTCCCTAGTAGAATGATTGTTAGTAGGGATATATACAAGTTGCTTTGGGAGTATGGGAGGAACGTGTTTTACATCCTTCAAAAATGGGATTTGGTAAGTTGACTGGTCAGAATTCACTTCTCAAAAGAAGAGAATAGATTAGGCTTGCAAATCGGTGTCTTTAGGTTGAGTTGACAGCTTCGCTAGAGGTCACCCGACTCTTTCTAACTAAAGGTGACTAATTTATTATGGGACTCCAATGATGTGCACAGACACCACTGGAGTGCTTGGGTAGGCAAAGAGTATGTTTAAGAATGGACTGGATCTCTTGTACTTAAATGACTTACATGTGCCTAACCGCACATCATATAGCTAGTGATTGGAATTTGCATAAAATTTATAATTGTTTGTCAAATTGCAAATCATAAGGGTGAGACAATTGCTAAGGCCATTGAGGCTTGTATGCTTGGTTGGGATTAAAAAAGGTTCTTAGTGTGATTGTTGATAATGCATTTGCTAATGATGAGATTGTTGGTTATGTAAAGAAAATGATTAATGCATTGAAAGGGTCGTTCATGATGGCAAGTTCATCCATTATATAGGTGCTCACATGGTAAATCTAATAGTGAGTGATGAGTTGAAAGAGTTGCACGATTCAACTCTTGTCATTTGTAATAGTGTGAAATACATTCAATAATCTTCTTCAAGGTTGTAAAAGTTCACAAAGTGTGTTGAAAAGAAAAAGATTAATCACAAGGGTAAGTTCGTCTTAGGCATATCTACAAGATGAAATCCAACTCTTATGGTATTAGATGCGACACTTACAATTTGAAAAAAAGTTTTTACAAGTTATAAGGAAGAAGATGAGAAGTATTTGAGTCACTTTCTACAAAAATGAGAATGGGAAAAAGAGAGTTGGACCACTAAAGTTTATTCACCGGGACTGTGTTTCGGCTTTTGCCAAATCTCTCCTTTTTTTATGAAGTCACTTTAAAGTTTAGTGGCACTTTGCATGTGACTTCAAATAACTTCTATCATGAGATTTGTGAGATTGATACGCACTTGAATTCTTTTGTTTAAAGTAAAAATTTTATATTGTCTAGTATGGCCAATAATATTAGACTAAGGGGCCGTTTACCAATTTTTTTAGTTAAGTGCTGATTCGGGTAAGAGATCTGACTGGAATAAGTGCATATTGTATTTTCTTGTTTATAAAACATTTTGTATTAAATGCTGATCGAGTAAAAAATACCATTATATCCTTTTTTCCTGGAATAAATATTAATTGAAAATTATTGTATTATTTAAGCCCAATTATATTTGGATAAGATTAAAAAGGCACAAGCCCATGTCAACCTAGATACATTTAAGCCCAATTATATTTGATCTATATGTATTTCCACTCAAAACCCTATTTCTTTTTACCCAAAACCCTAGTTCCCTTATTCTCTCTGCCATCTCCAGACCGACAATCGTCGCCTCCTTTCCGTCGCCGCCCTCCCGTCACCCTCCAACACCTTGAACCGGACATGGCCACTGACGGTGCCGGCGTTCCTCTTCCCCACCTATTTCTCTTTGCCCAAAACCCTAGTTCCCCTGATTCTCTCTGCCACCCCCGACCGGCCGCCGCTCGCCCTCCCGTCACCGTCCAACCCCTTGAATCGGACATGGCCACCGACGGTAGATAAAAACTAATAGAGGGTAGAAGTTTTTGTTTCTTCAAAGTAATCGGACATGGACGCCTGTTTGTATGAAGTTTTCTTCATTACCTTGAATCGGACATGCCCAAAACCCTGTTTGTATGAAGAAAAACGCATCCATTTAGGGTTTTAGATGAAGATGGTAGATAAGGAAACCCCTCTTACCCTGGTAAGATTCATTTTTTTTGTTGACTCCGGTAAGAGGACGGTAAGAGGCCAGAAATCTGATTGCTGATTTTGCTGTTAGGTGAACACTTTTACCTCTTACTCGGGTAAGCATCTCTTAACGGATAAGAGGTGGTAAGAGATTAGTAAACAGCCCCTACGTTCGACATGTATTGGGAAGTCCAAATTAAGGGTGTGCAGAAAATCAACCGATCCAATTAGAACCGATCGACCATAATTAAATATCCAATTGTAATTGAATCGGATCAGATTGAAAATTTAAACATCCAATTTGAATCGTTCGGTTCCCAGATGGCAGTCCAAAACCGACCAAAACCGAACCGATCAACATCCAATTAATCATCTAATGAGTAATGACCATCCAGTTGTCCATCCAACCATTATCCAACTATCATCCAATTAATTTATTTTCAAATTGCTTAAATCGAAATTTGTTTTATGTGAGGTTTTCAATTTTTAACTTCCCTTGTATTGGTTTTAACACATATTAAAAGTGATTAATCAATTTGTATCATTGTTAGAGAATTGGATTGAATTAACACAATGGATGAATCTAATCCTAATGGATCATCCATTGGATAATCCGATGGATATCCAATAAAAGTATCCAATGAATGGAACAGAACCGATCCAATCATCCATTGGATTGTATTAAATTGGATAGATCATCCAATGTTAATCGGATCGGATGACAAAATTCAACATCCAATGAATGATTTATTTAGTTCGGTTCCCTTGACATCCAATGGATGTCAACCGAGGAACAGGCCTAGTCCAAATAATATCAATCCAATGTTGTTTTCGGTTGTTATACTTGATCCAAGGTATAAGATGAAATATTTGAGTATTCTTTTTGAATGTCTCTATTAAAACAGAACTGCTACCAATATTATTACAAAGGGGGAACAAATCCTTAATTGATTGTTTGAAGTCTACAATGTTGAATGTTGCGGTGGTGGTTATAAAGTTAGTTATATTTATAATTTAATTTAATTTAATTTAATTTATCACGCATTTTAACATGGTCATGTTTGTTTGAGTTGTCACTTGTATTTCTAGGATACCAAAAAGGACCCATAAAAAAGAAGCAATAAAACTACTAGGAGGACATTTTTGGAAAGTTATATGCAAAAACATATCAATCAGACCAACCCATACGACTAAGGTTGGGTTATACTTTTGTTAGGTTAGGTTGGGTAGAGATTTTTTCAAACCACCAACTTTGGGTTGAGTTGTTTAAATCCCTCCAACCCAACACATGCACCCCTAGTTGTGTGTAGTTGTTATTGGTCGAATTTGCAACCAGTCCCTCATACCCACCCGTACCCTAGGCTACTTGAGCTCGAACTCATTTGTCTCGAATCGAACACAAATTAAAGCTCGATTAACTTAACAAGTCAATCTCCATAACATTAATGTTCAACTCGACTGCTCAAAAGCTCGATTGAACGTTGAGTCAAATCGAGCCATTTAGACGTATACTTTTTCAAGCCAAACATATTTATATGTTTATAAACTATAAAATCATAATATAAACATTATCGAGTCTGAGCAAATAAACAAATTAATCGACATAGAATTCGATCTCCCAAGCTCAAACATTGAGAAAAGTATTCAAGCTTGAGCATTGAATTTTTTTTTAACTCGAGCTCGAGCTTGATTTTGAAAATGTTATTCAAGCTCGAGTCGAGCTCAAGCATGATATTACTTTTTCAAGTCGAGCTCGAATCACCTACTACTCGACTAAGTGATTTTCAGACCAACCATTGGTTAAGGACCGGTCAAAGACTAATTTGTGAAGGTGAGCTTTTGACTTGCTTCCACAAAACAATGAACTTAAGAAACACAAAACAAAATAGGGTTTGATCAAGAGAGGTTAGGATCGTCTAAGCCTAAATTGGTCCTAGTTTTCAAACCAATGATGGTCTTTGTGCATCTCTACATTGGCTCATCACCTTTTTCCATACAGGTTTTCAACCCCAAATGAACATGCTTTTCTATCTTGCTCTTGAGAAGGCACACATGTTAGCAATGAGACTCGCATCATACAACATTAAGCATTATAGAGGCTAAAGGGGCCGTTTACCAAACATTTACCGAGTAAGCGCTTACTGGGTCAATTACCTGAGAGCATAGGAAGAACCAAGAATCTTACCCTGTAAACATTAGGTAAACGCCCCTAAGTTCCAAACTTCTGATAGGCCCCACCAATTTTGTTTGGCTTGTTTTACAATACAACCCAATTACTAAATCAAAGATTCAGATGAACCACCTAAGTTTACAGAGGTTTGGTCAAAAGCACATACCTCAATCGACACGAACAACTTGTGGACAAGCCAGTGATGACCACTCTTCACCTGTTCAGCAACAATAAGTAGGTTATTTGGTGGCACTGAAGCCATGAAAACAAAATGAAGACCAAAAGGTGCCATCAAACCTAAAGCATTTCAGTTACTCGACAAGTTTCTTGAATTTGGCAATGCATTCTAAAGCACGATCAAAATCAGTATCTTCCAGCGCTAAAGTAAAACGACAATAGCCTGGAATTCCAATCCAAGAAGCTCCGTTGATGCAAAGACCTGTGGCTCTAAACATTGCTTCTCTGATGTTCGAGTCATTGAGATTGGCTTTCCAAGTAGAACCATCTTTTTTCAGCTCAAATCTCTTTCCCATATAAGTAGATGGTTTTGCAATTACAGAAACACCTGCATGAGCTTCAAGTACTTCCCACCCACAACGCTCAAGAGTCTAGTCACCATACGTGCAAAACAAGATCAAAGTGAAGTTAAATCATATTTTCTACTCGATATGAATAAAAGCCAAACAAAATGAGCCCAATATATACCACCCGTAGGTGGGGTCTTGGGGGATGTACGCAGACATGTCCTCTACCCCAGACAGTAAAGTGGTTGTTTTTGTTAAGACCTCCAACTTGTAAAAAGACCATATGGATCATCACGGTAAACTAATATTAGCTTCTGCATTCAATGTGATATGTTCATATCTGATGGAGATTTAAAACATACAAAGTATATGCAATGTGGAAAGCATCAATTGCATCGTTATTTGTGCACACAATCATGATGCATACATTCTGTTCATGAGAGAGATTCTTACTTTCTATACTTCCTCTATGCCATGAAAAAAGTCACATTTTGTGAGAATATGGTGCAAGTGTATCATTTAACTTACTAATCAAATGTCTAAAATACTATATCGTCCTTCTCATACTTGATGCCATCCAAAAATAGTGGCGTGATCCAATTCAACCAAAAAGGCTGATTGGTTAGTCAATTCTGCCAAAGTTCAGACAACATGCAATGCAAAAAACATAATCACAAGAAAAACATCATCACTACTTCCCTTTAGGATACACTCATCACCATTCCAAGGAAAAAAGGCATCAAAATGCAACAAAGTTTGATTTTAGTGTAACACATACTTTTTCTTTTCAATCGATGTAACAAAGTTTCAAATTCCTATTTTCTACCCATTTCGGCGGTAACCTGCTGATTTTGAAACATTTGGTGACGTAGATACTTGTTTACAAAAGCTTTTGGAAATGTTTACAAAAAGTTCACGGAAAAGGGGACGATAAACTTGACATCCACGGCATCGGATGTTACAAGATCAACATGTTATCGGCTACCATTCAAAACAGGTACAATATAGAAAATTTTGTAACTTCATTACATTGCTTGAGAAAATATTTGTTACAAATAGGAACCAAACTTCTGTGCATTTGCCCACCTTCCAACTATGTAATTAACCAATTGTTTAATTCCATGTATGGCAGGAATAAGCAGGTGTTTGTTTATGAGCAATGGGCAGATAAAATATGGTGCATGAAAACCAATTTGCTAATGTGAATGATTACCGCTTTCAACTGTTTATGTCTACCACCGAGCAGTTTCCCCTGTTCTTCAGTAGTGGCCAATAGTTCACCTGGTTTCTGCTCTCTAAGATCCAGCAACTTCTTTGCAGTATATCTGATAGTACTATGAGGTTTGTTTAGCCCTGAGAAGATGTTAAATGCATCAACCAAGAATCGCTGGTTTAGAACAAGAAACCCAAATGTCAGCCCTCCTGTAAGCATCTTGAAGAACAACCCTCCAAGCAGACACACAGAGAAAGTTGACTTTCCAGAAGTTAATTTTGCTAAACTTCCCTCCAAATTCCAGCCGTTCCATCCCTTTGAGTTAAACTCCACCCCGGAGAATGAAGTATCAATGATGACCTTTGCTCCATATTTAGCACAAACATTCAGGATACTTTCCATCTCTTCATTGCTGTAAATCAAACCTGTAGGGCTTATTGTTGGACCAGAAATATAGACCCATGGTTTACTAACAGTCTCCAATACACTACTAAGATGTTTTTCTGTCAGCTTGAAACCTTCATCGGATATGGTATGGATTTGCACAATTTTTGCATTTAGAAATTTGGCAGTTGAGACATAATTCCCATTTGAAGCAGCTGGAAAGCAGAGACTTCCTCCTCCTTGGATGCAGCAAAGGACCAATTTGCTGAAAATAGAAAGCGGAGAGTCTGCATATATAAATTCTGTGTTGTTATCAGTTGACAAGCCATATGCGGTCTTGATAAATTTTTTGAGGCTGGGTGTCACATCACATTCAGACTCTGTCACGTTCTGTCTTGCAAAACTTTCAAAGATGGCAGCCTTAACTGCAGTTGGTGTAGGCAAAAAGATTTGATCCACATCCATGTGAATAAGGGAAGAGTTGTCTGTTTCTCTCAGAGAGAACTCTGCATTGCTAAGAACTGAGATGGCTGAGCTTGAAAATCCTATCATCTCACTGCATTTTGCATTCTCAGCTTCTCTCTGAAGAAGATAAATAATAGGAGTCAAAATTGTACTTATTCTCCAGAAAGACAAAAGGCAGATAATATATGTTGCAACACCCAAGAAGCTTTATCTAATAGCATCCAAATGACCAAAAAGCTACGATGTTGCTTTATTTTGAGTTTCATGTACTGAATAGATATGCACATTTAAGGCAAAACAAATAATATTTGCAAGTTTTTTAAGTAACTTATTTGCTACAACATGTAGATTCCCTTGAAAAATATGTTTTGACTTTAGCAATCCTGCTCAATGCTCCCATACCACAACTGGCACTACAAATAGCAACCTAAGAGGCAGGTCCAATTAGATAAAAAAAAAAAGACAGAAACAGAAGACATGCCGGTTAGTATTAAATTAAATGAAATGATACAACCTGGGGGGAGGGTTATAAACCAAAACCCCAAACAACAAAACATGAACATACAACGCCTAAAATGATGTCTTTGTGCATTCTTGAAGCAAAAACATCAATTATCTCCATAGTTGACACTTAATCTTTGGTTAAATATTTTAATAAATGATTGATATAACTATTAAATGATATTTCAACTTTTTAATTAAGATTTTCTTTATTATTAAACTTCATGACTAATTTATTCTTCTTATTAATTTTTTATATGAGTGTTTATGTTTATTTTGGATGAAAATTAGTTTGAACAAAACAAGTTCTTATCAACCGGCTAGCAAAAGGATTGATGCTCTTGCTATGGTGGCAACATGAATAGTTCTTGAAAGATTTCAATAGTATCACAACAGAATTTAAATAACTTATACTGCCTTAACACAATGTGATCCACTATAGCTTAGTGGTAGAATGCCAGCTTTGTAAACAGATCTGTCGCTTCATGGTGCATATTATTTATTTTTCTGTTTTCTTTTATAGCTGTTCATAAATACTACCCTTGGACATGGGCTGTTGCTGCCCTGGGCCTTTGCATGGGCTGCCATTGGACTAGGCTGGCCCTGAAGCAGTGTTTTGCAGATGTATAACATGCAAGCCATAATTAGTTTAATGCTTCAAGTAAAAAAAGTAACCTCTGCAGGTTGATGTCGATCAGGAAGCTGAAAGGACAGAAGCTCATGGAAAATGCAACCATAATAATATTGGCTAATCAGGGCAGTATTTCCTTGTAATAGCTCCACACTCTTAGACAATGCATCACAAATGATTTGCTCTTCTGATATCACAAACGCTACTTCAAGATCTGTATAAACCTGGAAAAAGAGTTTGGCTACAATAATTATACGTTATGATGGTAAGTAAATGACTAAACTGACTGAATATTGACCAGATGTCAATTCCTCAGCTTCTAGATAGCCCACAACTGCACAGTGATGGATGCTCATCACATTTAACTAGAATATTGTTGACCACAGAAAACGAATTACCTGATTTTTCAATAACCCACAGATAACTGCTACATGCGAAGGCAGTGGAGTTCTAGCAAGATATTTCAGGACCCCATTCGAATTGGGGAGGCTGGAAAGCTCAAATTGGTGTGATATATCTATAAAGAGACGAGATCCAATTTCCCTTGTAGTACTTAAGATGTGCTCAAAAGCAGAACTAGTAACAGCCTCAAACTGAGCCATCCCAGTAACTACCACTTGTGGCCTTAATTTTTTTATCAGCTCTATCATCAGATCTGACTGGCGGGGTGCTTCTATTACGGTGATTCCATTTGTTGACGACTTATTATTGATGTTCTGCTGAAATGTAAATCAAGAACACTGATAAAGTTTTTACGGAAACAATACGGTAACTAAACCATGAAAGTTGATTCAAAAACAGTTTTCCACATAACCGAGTAAAGGATCATGACAATATAATGTATACCAGAAGCTAAAAATATTAAAATGAATATAAGAATCCTTTAAGCACTCTTTTACATGGGTAGAGGCAACTCATGCAGAAGGATGCCACCATAGCAGTTAATGTGATGAATAATCCTTGAAAACATTCTACTAGATTTTTTTCTGATACGAATGCTAATAATCAAAACAATCTCAACTAAATACAGTTTCACTTACCGGGGAAAAAATAAAAAACACGGTAGATCCTCTAGCTTTCAGACATGAATAACATCAATTCACACACCCCTATGGGAAGGCCAAAGCCTATGGGGTATTCCACTCGATCTCTTTTCACTACTTCCCCATGCAATCTTGGCCAACTCCACATATCCTGATGACCTCCTCTTGATACAAAGCTCCTTTTCCAATCATCTGAGATGGTCAAACCATCTCATGCATGTTGTCATTCTCTCTCTTCATAATCCTTTCTTTCTCCATCAAAAAAGAAAAGAATGGTGCATTTAATGGACTCAGTAGATCTACTCTGATTTTGACAACTAACTAAATTGAGGATTATAATATTAATATCATTTATGTTTTGGACTATGTGCAGAGTAATTGGTCCCAAACTTTTCTGCAGAGGAATGAAGACTACATGCACACCTTAAGGATAATGGGAGTAATTTTCTAGAGTGGGCTCAATCAATTAAATTGGTTATTGATGAAAATGGAAAATTAGGCTACATCATCAGTGAAACATGGAAACCATCATCCACAAATGCATCTTTGCAGAAGTGGAAATCAGAAAATTCAATGGTCACTACGTGGTTAGCCAACTCGATTAAACCCTCAATCGATAAAACTTATATGTACTTCCAACAAAAGAAGAAATGTGGAAGCTGTTCGAGAAACATACTCTCATCTGAGAACTTTTCGCAGATATTTGAGATAAAGACTCGGTTGTGGCAGATGAAGCAAGAAGAACAAGATGTGCCTGAATTCTATAGAGAGATGAAGGCTTTGTGGCAAGAATTGGACTCGAGTTCTGAAGAAGAGTGGGAGTGCTTCAGTGACAGAATTCACTTCAAGAAAAGGCTGGAAAACAAGAGAGTTTTTAGATTCTTGGTTGGACTCAACCGTGAACTCGACGAGGTGAGGGTAAATATTCTTAGCTGAAGACTGTTGCCCTCGACCCATGAAGTCTTCTTAGAGGTTAGACGAGAAGAAGATAGGTGCAAACAATTCAGAATAGCTAGAACAATTTTATAAGATGTTCTCCGGTTTCCAAAATATTGGTGAGTCGTCTAATACTGTGTCAATTGGTAACCTGATACATAAAGGTAACTTCTCGCAAGCCCTGAGCACTATGCATTAGATCATATGACCAGTGCTCATCACAACATATGTTCCTTGTGCTGGCAATATCAAAGTAAAGATGGCAGATGGAACCTTGTAAACAGTGGTAGGAAAAGGAATTGTGAAAAATTCAGATTATGTAACTCTAGAATCAGTCCTCCATGTTCGTAACCTATCCTGTAATTTGTTATCTATTAGCCAACTCACAAAAGATTCCAGCTACTCAGCTAAGTTGGTTCCCGCTCACAGTATTTCTCAGACCTGTCATCAGGGAAGATGATTGGCAATGCTAGAAAACACAAGGGGGTCGACTATTATGACGAGGCTGAGGCGAATAGCGCTGCAAACTACAATTTGTGATTTCGAATTTCCTTGTAGATGGTGAAATAATGTTATGGCATTTTAGAATGGGTCATCGTAATTTCTAGCACTGGAGACATTTATTTCCTTCTATTCATGTGTTATACCCTGGGTATTGACTAGTCAATCCATGAGGTTGGTTTACTTAGGAAGTCAAATAGGGTCAGCTATAGTATGAATGTACAGGTAGGCAAAACATTAGCATAAGTGTGTAATGCAGTAGTAGAAGTATATAAATAAGAAGCGGTGAGTGTGGGAGGGTATCGATCAGTTTGCAAGTCTGTTTTGGGCGAGAGCCTTGGGAGAGAATCTGGTGCCAGAAACCCTATTGTAAACATTCCATTGATGTCTAATACAGTTCTATATCCCTCAAATTAGTCCAACGTTCATCAACTGGAATCAGAGCAGTACGATCTGAGGGAAGACGATCAGCGTTTCATCAAGAATCGACAAAATGGAGGGCGTTTCATCAAGAATCGACAAAATCAAGGGCACTTTAGGGACGATGCAGACCAAACTCAGTTCCCTAAAAGAAGATGTACAAAGTTGTAATGAAGCAGATGGATCTGTTACTCGAGATGCAGGAAACGGGATTCAAGAAGAAGTCGCTGCAGACGAAGGAAGAGAAGTTGCAGATTGTGCAGGAGAAGACGACGGGGACCCGGTGGGGTTTTGTGATTCAGGGAAGAAGATTGGATAAACCATCATTCGGGGGATGGGTTTCTGATGGTTAGGTGGTGCTTACTGAGAGTTGCTTCAAGTTGAATTGGTTAAAAGAGGAGCAGATCAAGATTGCCGATTCTGCTTCGAGGGTGAGGCTCTATGATGGTTCCAGTGGGAAAACCGATATCAACCGTTTAAGAAATGGGATGAGTTGAAAATGATGATGTTACGACAATTCAGGCCGCCACGCAGGGGAAACTGGTGCCGTCAATTACTTGTGGCAAGGCAAGAGGAGTCCGTATCTGACTACTCAAAGAAATCGGTGAAGTTGGGATCCGCAGGATGGAGTTTTAAAAGAAGTTTCCTTAAATCAATATAGCAATGGTTTGAAACAACTAACTAGGGCTGAAGTACGGCAGTTATCGCCGATGAACGGGGTAGGGGCAATGGAATTGGTGGTGGAAACGGATGAAATGAATCATGAGAATAAAATGAATAATGGGTCGGTCACCAAAAAAGTTGCAGAGAATACAAGTGAATGTAAAACACAAGATAGTGGCTTGGGTGACTTGGAAGCTGATATGGGTTTCACAATAGGGTTATTACATGGAAACACAGATGTAAGGGAATCTTGGAATCCATTGAATAGTGAATTGGCACTATAAATGGAAGAAAAAAAATAATGAGTTGAACCAGTCAAAGAAATCTGATTTTTTGAGTAGCATAAAGGTAACAGCAAGGGTGGGTTTACCGACATCATTGAGGCTGATTAGGATGGTGGTGAGGCAGTCAGTATACAAAATGTTATCTGTCAATGAGTTACAACAATGCCTAGCTCAAGGACTATATTATCAATGTGAAGAAAAGTACATACCCAGGCATAAATGCAAGAAAAAGGAAGTTAATGTGCCGATGGTTCAAGAATCTGAAAAGGAAGGAGATGCAAAAGGGTGGAACGAGCAGCAATATGGGTCAAAGATATTATGGAATCGGAGGTCAAAGTATCGTTGAATTCAATCGTAGGATTGTCTATACCAAAGAAAATAGCGGTGGCAAGTGAAACCAGAGGACAAAAAGTTGAGGCGTCGATGGATAATTTCACACTCAATTACTTTTTAACTTTGTTGATCAAAAGGGAAGGCTGGTTGGCTGACGTTCATCGGGAATCGTCGCCACCTCTATCACCACCACTGCCACTCTTTGTTGATGTAAAGAGTTTTAATCGATTTTTTTCATTTCTTCCCACCTTGAGGACAAGGTGAAAGTTTGGGGGTCGGGTATTGTTATACCTCGGGTATCGACTAGTCGATACATGAGGCCGGTTTACTTGGGAAGTCAAATAGGATCAGCTATAGTAGGAATGTAAAGTAGGTAAAACATTAGTACAAGTGTGTAAAGCAGCAGTAGAAGTATATAAACAAGAACGGCGAGTGTGGGAGGGTATCGATCAGTTTGTAAGTCTGTTTCGGCGAGAGCCTTGGGAGAGAATATGGCCTCTTGAAAGCCAGAAACGCTATTGTAGACATTCAATTGATGTCTCATACAGTTCTGTATCCCTCAAATTAGTCCAATGCTCATCATCATGTCAAAAAATTACTCCTACCCTTCAATGAGATATCTGTCAACTTGTTGAACATCAACGTTCCTCATTTAGAAAATCTAAATAACAACCTTCCAAACCGTTAACTACGATTCACAGTGACCTATAGGGTCCTTATACTTCTACATGAATACAAACGAGATGGTTTGTTTCCTTTATCGCCAATTATACTTGTGTTTCTTGGGTTTACCTCTTGAAAGACAAAACTAATGTCGTGAAGTATTTATGAACTTTTACTCCATTCATACATGGTTCCAAACAAAAATCCACAAGTTAGGAACAAACAACATAAGTATTTTAATACTAGCCTAGGAGAATTCCTAAGGAGACATGGCATAATTAATCAAAGTTAATGTGTTTACGCTCCCCAACAAAATGGTGTAGTTGAGCGAAAAAATAAACACCTACTTGCCTGCATATTGATATTTACAGCCAATATGCCAAAAATGTTTTGGGGAGATGCCATCTTAACTTCTTCCTATCTTATAAATAGAATGTCCGCTCGAGTCCTCTCGTTTGAAACTCCATTCGATACTCTGAAAAAGGCCTTCCCACTTGACGACTACCCTAAACTCTACCTCCTAAGGTACTTGGTTGTACAACATTTGTTCACATCCACTCCCAACATGAAGCAAACTAGATCCTCGAGCGACTAAGTGTTCTCTCATTGGCTATTCTCCTACACAAAAGGGCTACAAATGCTTCGATCTTTCCACACAAAGGTATTTGTTAGCATTGATGTTATATTCTTTGAAAACACACCATTCTTTCAAAAAAAAAAACTTCTCTTTAGAAGGAGATCTCAAATGAGATTATTTTGTGGATTTTGAACTTATCTTACCTCTCGAGTCTAAACTAAACACCACCCACTCCTCTCATTCTAATGTGCCATGTACAAAGGGATACTTGAACACAAGGGGGGTATGTAGAAACACGACAAATCATGGAGTTATCAGTGTACTCAAGAAGTCCAAAAATCAAAATGTCAAGATAACCTCACTTCCAATGCACCAAGAGAATCAACCACCGTGATAGATCCTTGCATAATTGAGTCTCTGTTACACATATAGATAGCAGGGATGATAGTGGGCCGGTCAATTAGTCAATAAGTGAGGTAAGTTGGTTGTTAGAAGTATAAATAGAAGGAGGGTTGAGATCAATTAGGTATCAATTTTGTAATCAGTTGGGTGTAACCCTTAGGAGCGTTCTCAGCCTCTCGGAAGCCAGAGTGACTCATAATCATTCGGCTATGAGTGAATAATCAAAGTTTACCCTAGTTTTGTTGATAATCTGTAGCAGTTTGTAACAAATGGTATCAGATTAGTCGATCTTGGAGATGACCAAGATTTTGCTCGCCAATTTTTTAAAGATTGTGGGAGATCTAAGATCGGCGCAATCAGAGTTAAGTTTCATGAAAGAAAATGTTCGAGTTGTGAAACAAATGCTCAAAGAACACGAAGTACAAGAAGATGCGCTCCAGAAGTCACCAATCCAAGTAAGGTCGATGAACCCGTCAAGAAATGAAACTCTGACCCCATCTCAATGCCTCATTTCCAAGATTCCAAGATTTTGTTAGGAAACAAAGGGAAGGCAGAGAAAAAATCAACAGTCAAGAGTAAATCGACAACAAAGAAGGCATGGTTCAACAGGTTTGCTAAAGTAATAAAGAATCAAGGTTACTCACAGTCACTCAACTCATACTATAGGATCAAGGTTACTCACAAAGTCGGTGTGATCATACTATTTTCTTCAAAATCCAAGATGGAAAAACGATGATACTGATAATTTATGTGGATGATATAATCCTCACCGATGACAATCTAACTGAAATGGAGAGGTTCAAAAACATTCTTGCTGCATAATTTAAGTAAATAATTTGGGACAAATAAAGTATTTTTTGGACATGGAAGTTTTAAAAACCAAGAAAAGAATGTGTTTCACAAATAAAATATGTTCTTGATCTTCTCAAAAATAGGTACGCATGGATGCAAACCAAGTGATATTCCGATTGAAGATGGGAAGAGATACATAGACAATAACAAGATGGTCGATAAGGACTTGTATCAAAGACTAGTGGACAAACTGATATACTCGTCAAAGGTTTGGCCTGAAATTGCGTTTGTAGTGAGTATGGTTAGTCAACACATGCAGTGACCGAAAGCAACTCACATGGAAGCATACAAGATACTTAGGTACATTAAGCATCACGTGGAAGAGAATTATACTTCAACAAGAATGGTTTCGAAGTCATAAAAATGTATACAAATGTAGATAGAGGATCAAAGAAAGCTAACGGTGAAGTGATAAAAACCTAAACAGATGCAAATTGGGCAGGGTCAATCGAAGATAGGAGATCTACTTCTGGATACTACACGTTAGTACGGGGGAATCTCGTGACATGGAGCCGCAAAAAACAAAGTGTGGTGGCTAGAAGTATATGATGAACCATTCTTATATTAATATCAAATCAAAGGATTACAATCGATCTTGGCTTTAAGAGGCCAGGTCTCTCCCAAAGGTTTTCACCTAACTGACTACAAAACAGAATACCCTTTCGTCTAACCCCCTTCCCTATTTATACTACTCCCATCTATTGACTCATTGACCGCATTTATAAACTTGTTGACCCTAGAGTATAACAATACCCACCCCCCAACATTCACCTTGAGTCCTCAAGGTGGAAAGAAAAAGGAAAGGAACTGATACACTACTGTGATTGAAAACGGGATATTTGCAGATATTGTTCCAAGGAATCTATCACCTGCATTCTTGCACCAATTTGTGAAGTCCGTGTCTCCCTCATGTGTAACCAACTACCATATCTTTCTAATGCAAGACCGCGGAAGAAGAAGAAAGTGAATTGTTCAGGCCCCATAACATAATCTTCCCAATTAGCTTCAAGAAAAGACGAACCCTTCCAATTCAACTTCAAGCTACACTCACCAATACTTTTGCGCCTATCTCTAGACTCCCTAACCACAAATTGGTCAGCCAACAAGCCCCCTTTTCCTTTCAAAACCAGGCCGAGCAGAACCATCATCACCTTGTTCATGGCTAGAAGGTCAGCAGTAATCTAATATGAAAAATGGTACTTCTTCAAATTTCTTCCAATACAAGTCATAATTTTGGTAGTTAGTTTTCTCGAAAGCATGTGCAATCTTGCACAAGGTTACAAGGTAGTTTGTTTTATCCAAAGCATGTGCGGTCTTGCACGAGGTTATACCCATTCTGCAAGAACTGCAACACTCTGTAACTCGACATCAATTTCACCAACATCCTAGGTGAGAAGGAATATCGATTGGATCACAAGTCACCGTGGCGATAATGGTGGCAGTGGTTAGGGTGGTAATGGTGGCAGCGGTTAGGGTGGTAATAGTGGCAGAGGGGGTGGTAGCAGCGGCGGAGGCAGTGTCAGATGGAGATCAACCAACCAAAATCGATTTCTCGTCGTTGTCAGGCAAATAGATGTGGAATTGATGGACCGGTTTAAGTCCATCATGGGCTTGGGCCAAACAACAATCCCTGAAATGATTTTAGGCTAGATCATATAATTTGGATTAGTTTCAGCCATAGAAGGATTAAAATGGGCTTTCCAGCAATTAATATCTTGTTTCTGGACTTGGCTACCCTCGAAGGTGGAACACCGTTAATCCCGACTTATACGATGGTGGAGATGGCGATGATGGCAAAGGAAACAGTGATGGTGGAGAAAATAATGATGGCAATGAAGACCGCGAAGATGGTAGTGATGCTGGTGGCGAGGGTTGCGACAATGGCTCGGGATGACCATCGAGTAACCCACTTCTTTCCCTCATGACTCCATTGTTTGTTCTCTCTGTAATTCCTTATCATCCTCGTCTTCATCACCATATATCTCATCTTCTTCATAATCTTCCCTCTCCTCTTTCTTCAACGTCCGCAGTTTGTCTTTTATCGAACTCAAATTCGATTTTCATTGAACTGAGGGTTTCCAACATTTTTTTGGTTGTTGACAGCATACTCAAGATCTCTTGCTCTGATATGAAGGTATGAACATTCATCATATTAATATGAAAATCAAAGGATTATAATTGATTCTTGGCTTTCGAGAGACCAGTTCTCTCCCAAAGGTTTTCACCTAACTGATTACAAAACATAATACCTTGTCGTTTAACCCCCTTCCCTATTTATATTACTCCCTTCTATTAACTTATTGACCGCACTTATAAACTTGCTGACCTCAGGGTATAACAGTATAGTTTAGAGCGGCGGCTCAAGAATTTGTGAAGCTCTTTGGCAAAGGAAACTCCTAGAAGAACTTCAAGTAACAATAGAAGCCCCAATCAAGCACTACTCTGATAACAAAGCAACAACTAATATATCTCTCAATCTTTATCCAATGCAGCCAAACCAAGCATGTAGAAATGGATAGACATTTAGATAGGCATATATGTTCACCAAAGGACTTGCAAGACCATAATTCGATGATTTGTTAAGCAAGTCGGAGATGATTAATACACAATCCAACTTGAGGGGGAGTGTTGAAGTCCTGAATTTATGGTTGGAAATATGGTTTATAATAGGATTATTTCTTTCCTAGTTTATCTAGGATTGAGTGATCTCTATCTCGATTTCTAGGCCATAATTTCAGAAGATTTGATTCCTAGTTTGTACTATAAATAGAGGCTCTAATGTACCATTTTGATATATAAAAAGCACAAAAAGCACTTTTTCGCCTTCATTTAATTACATCATGACACCAAGTTTGAACTCATAGGTGATATCATAAGAAAAACTGTAGATGGTTTTGACTTGACTGATGAAATTTTATAATTTACAAACAATAAAACAATGAACTTCGTAGAGTTTGTTTCAAATACAACCCATCGCATTTGTACAACCAATGCAACCCAATAAATTGAAATATTTATGGAAATGATGAGAGTTTATTTATTATGATTTAAATATTTATGGAAGATGAATATGGTTCATTAATTATGATCAATACTTTATATTAGGAAACAATCAAAACTTCTATGAAATCACATATTCATCAAATTAAATGGACGGTTGAGATTGGGTTGTATTGGTTGTACAAATGTAAAGGGTTGTATAATAACCAACGTCGAACTTAGTAAACAGTTAAAAGCTAAGATGAATTTCGAAAGCTCCTAAAACTGTTAAATGCAATCTTTTCTAATTATGTGCAAGTAAAAACTCCAATGCAATGTCTTATCATACCTCCATTTCAAGGGATGTTAACCATTCCTTGGGTAGGTGTCGGCTTAGATGATCGTCAACAATGGCAAGACGTGGAGCGAACAATTGCAGTGCATTCTCAATTGCTGTAGCCCTTGATGGAAAAACGACGACATTCTTGCAGGATGGTTAAGAATAATCAAGTCAGAAATGCAACTTATTTGTCACAAAAGGCTACAAAATAAACTATTTCACAAACAAGCTGGGGCGGTGATGCTTAAAAGGAAAAAATATAAAAACTGTTGAGCATTCTCATTGCCATAGCCATCGAAGGAAAAACATACTTGCAGAATGATTGAGAATAACAGAGTCAAGCAAGCAAAATATTTTCCACGAACAACTGTAAGATAAATCATTTAAAAGAATATGGATCAATGATGTTTAAAAGCATAATTCTTCTACCCTGCCAACTTTATTTATTTAAGATACCCATCAGATAAGGTACTCATTCATGACACTTCTCATTGAATTAGATAAAAGAACTTTAACTAAGGCATGGTTTTTCTTATCTTATAATTTAAAGTCTACATATGGAGTCTAGAACCAAACCAGTGGTCAACACAATAGCAACTTTTGTAGAGTGTAGCAAAAGGAATAGAGGTGTTCTATCAAGGTCCTAGCTTTTCAAGAAAAAAATTAATCATTCAGATCTCAGATTTCTAGCTCATTCTATTTTGTTAGTTCAGCCGTGGAGTTTCTATATTTCTGGGAGATTCTTAAAGCATAAAACCTATGCTAATGCATTCTTCATAAAGCAGTTCTCACACAGCTATGTAGTTCCAGTACAAAAAAGAAATTACATCATTTTCAGATTTTCAGCTAATGGACATCTTTTGGGTAGTTAATTGCAGTTTAGGCATTGCTCCTTAGTTTTTCTGAAGATTAAAAATTTCTGAAAACATACAAGCCATTGGCCTTAGTCAAAGGAGCATGGAAGGTTGTTTTTCTTGAACCAAAAAAATTGACCAATCCCCGCTTTGGTAATTTCTTATGGATCTAATGCTTGGCCTAACCCAAATAGTTTGGGATTAAAAGGCTTACAACTTGTAGTGATTTAATAACTCACAATAATTATGCCATAAAAATACTAGCAAAGAGAAAAGACAAGATCTTGATCAACCAAATGCCAACAATAGATTATGCAATAGTCATGCAGCAGATAGTTTAGACGGAGTAAACTATAATTTTCATCCTTGTGGTTTGGTGTTTATAACAAATTCCGTCCCTCTGATTTAGGAATTGCTTTTTTCGTCACTGTGGTTTGCATTTTATTTCGTCCCTATACTATCGATCATGCCCCGAAGGTTTCCTCCTATCGATCTCCTTCCAACGCTGTCTTTTCTCTCCCTCTATTCACTCTCTCTTGACTTGTGTTCTTCCATATTGCCACCAAAAGATCGCATCGTACCAGATAAACAAGGGGATGGTGGTTTGTTTTGTTCTTGAACTTCACTCATAAACCTCAAAATTGAACTTCACGCAGGGGAGTCGTTGGATATGAAGGTGGTGCTAGTGTTCCAGATATAGAGGGGAGAAGGGAGGATGAGGTCGACGCAGGAGAGTCCAGCCTGGCTAGCCGGCGATGGTGGTCGCCGAAAGGAAACGGGCCAACAATGATAATGATGCTGCGAGATGATAGCCGAAGTTTGTGTGTATATATATATATATATATATATTCCAATACATAATTATATATAAATAAAACATATAATGTTAAAATAAATGTAAATATGATATTATATATTGTTATTTATTTTTTAATGAAAATTTAGAAAATTGGTAAAAAGACCAAAATGTCCCACATTTAACAGATTTTTTTAGCTAGTTTGAGGTACGAAAAAAGTAGTTTTCAAACCACGGGGACGAAAATCGTTAAAAATACCAAACCACAGGGACGACAATCGTTATAAATACCAAACCATAGAGACGAAAATCATTATAAATACCAAACCACAGCGACGAAAATCATAGTTTACTCTCAGACAAATATTAGAAAGGAAGACTTCTTACACCAGCAGTAATTGGTACATGGTGGTATGTTTTCATGAAGCCTGCAATAAGGTTACGGAACCTTTTACTTCCAGATGGAGGCTCATACTGGAAGTGCGAATTGTCTTTCAAAACACTAGCAAGATATGCTAGAAAAGGAATCTTCTCATCGGCAACAGAATCGTCTTCAAACGATAAATCTAAGGAATTGCTGATATCGTGAAAACCATTTTTGAGGAACTCGAAGATTTTTTTAACCTATCAGTTTAGTTGGTTCAGTATTTGATCAAATTTCAGATTGTACTATGTTGAGTTTTCAACAAAACTTTTGTGCTTTTATTGCAAGAACCTGATTCGGTTGTCGAAGCTGACAGCTGTAAACCGATAAAGCATGAGAAATACGTCCACCAGCCTTTCCAAAAGCCCATGCTGTCCTAGCACAGATTGGCTGATCACCAACAAGTCCCATGAAGAACTCAAAACGATGTGGATTATTCTTTTCAATTTCAACTAAAGCTGAAATGTCTGTGTCAGCAGCCTGAAGAATTTTAGTTTGCCAGAGCTTTGTGACAAGAAGACCACGGCGTTGAAATAACCGTTTACAAACAGCTTGCCCTGGACGACCTCCCATATTGAAAATCATGATTCCCATAGGCTTGATGACATCAATTCCTTCTTCAACTGCCCTCGCAATGAGACCTAACCCAAACTGATCCTCAACAAAACCCTATGTACACAATTGCAAAACTGAGTTGATACATTGCAACAAGCCAACAACCATCTTTCGAAGAGGCAACAGTGAGACAAGAGAGTGGTGGTACATCAATTTGTTGGAGAAGCTATAAGCATAGAATCAAGAAAAGAAGGATGCAGTAAAAACATTGTTTATGAATTAAAATTCTATAAAGGGATCTGCAATGAGCAGGAGTAAAGCTGGCATGAAGCCCCATGAGAACACCAAGAGTACTGCCCTCCAAAAGAAACAATAATAAAAAAGAAAAGACAAAAAGGCGGCAATCACATCCAGGAAATTTTCGCTACTGCATTAGTGTTCCTTGACATTTCTTGACACCTTTAATGTTGTGGTTAAGCCGTTAAGGAAGGCAATATTTGGTTGTTAAATTCTCATTTTTGTAACCTGTCACTAATCAACACAAACAAATAGAAATTAAAAAAAAAATTGAAAATCCAGAATGATTTGTGGCATCAGCTGACCCTATGACAGTGCCTCGACACTACATGCTCCTGATTTACATTGTTGTTTCAGTTATTTAGTAACCTTGAAACAAAAATCAACTAGTTTGGGAGCATGGCTTAGATTTAATTCAGTTCTCTAGAATAACTTCCGAAACATTGCAAAGACAAAAAACGAGAAAATGTGCCTGCCAACATACCATGCTAGCTAAAAGCAAACCTCCTCTGAAGTACAGCACATGTAATGACAAGATTCCACTTACCTGAAGTGCACAGTAGTTACTTAATGAATACAAAAAGTCTTCACTAGCATTTTCTGTGATGAGCTTGGACATTGCGTCAGGATTAGGATTAAGAATCTACAACAGAATGTAAAGTACATATTAATTGTATATGGCAAGATGTGAACATTACAGCTCCCAGACATGGATTAGCATTTCAACAGGTAAGGGGAAGAACAACAACAGTTGGTTCATGAAAATACCTGTGGTATACATCCGACAATCCGTTCAAGCTCTATGTGATTATCTCTGCAGTAAGATAGTAGATCAGATTCATAAAACTCCACCCTGTCAAGCAAAGTTTTCTTCTCCTGGTCATAAACAGGTTGTCCATTATCATCGAAAGCATTTAAATACAAGTTTATCCAGGAAATCTTCACTGCTCTGGGGTTTATATCAAGACCATAAACCTGTAAGACATCGTTTAAAAATCTCAAACAACCAGCAAGAACAGAAGCAGACCACTACCTCTTTCAATCAGCATTTCACAGGTACGGGCTCTAAAGTTCAGGACAAGAATAATCAGTACCTTCAATGGTGACCATCTCTCAGCAATGGCTATGGATATCCAACCATTTCCACAACCAAGCTCAGCAACTATTTTGTCTTTGAAGATAGTGTCAGGATGTCTATTCAGCCCCTCATAGAATGTAAAGGACCAGTCCTCAGGCAAAAAGATGCTGGGGATCACCATCGCTGTTAATTTGTTTCTGTTCTCGTAACCTGCAACATGCAGAAATATTAAGGCAAAACAACATTTCGTCCGAAGCATGCATAACGTCATCATCTACCAATAAGGAGTATCAAGTTGGTAGCTTTTTTAGATCTTAATACTAAATGTAAAAAAAAATTGTATAGGTTTAAGTAAAGGAAAGCAGAGGATTGCTTATTTTAGTAATTTGAAGGCAACTTAAAACAGTTTTTCATGAGCCATATGAAAAGTATGCTAAAACATCGATGAGTAATTGATTAATCTAAGAAAATGATCAATCTCTTCCATTTAGCACTGGCTTCAAGAATCTTCAAACCATAGTTGTCATATAGTCCAAGGATCATAATTAAATAAGTCATAAGCATTGACTTGTCAAGCTGGAGATAGAAGATGGGATTTTGCTTACAAATACATGAAGTATTATCACTGAGGAAATGTAAAAAATAAGACCAAGAAATGACAATATGAACTGGAACCACTGATTCAAGAGAGTTATGCCAAACAATTAGAATGAATATTGATGGAACTATTGACTACAGAGGAGTTCTGCCCCAATAATGACAAGTAACACATTGGATCTCGGGATAAATTAGCTTGCCACTTTAAGCCCTGCAGTTGTTATGGAACAAATTCTATGCCTTTAACAAAGTATCACCCAATTGCAATTTATACAAGAAAGAAGTCTCTGTGAACTGTGAAGGGCAGGAGCTCCTATGGCCACAGAGGAAACAATCGAACAATTAGAGCTTTTCAAGAAATGCTTCTGAAACAGCTTGGGTCTTGGCACATCTAAAAAGGAATCTTCTTCCAATAACTGAATATGGAATGGAGGAAAGGATCATTCCATTTCGTTTTCTGTTATTTTCTGTTATTTTCTGTTATTTTCTGGGTGGGTTAACAAATATCATCAAATCCCAGACTAGATACATCTAATCTAAGATCACTTTCTGATTTTATGGTGAAAAAATATGTCAGCGTTGTAGATGACTGGAACCAGAGAGACATGCCTCACTGTGAAGCTAGATTTCCATACGATCTATTAGATTATTAATCATAACTCAATAGTCCTTTTATCACTTCTATTATAGGCATACGCCAAGCTTAACAAGAACAAATACTTTTCGGGATCAATACAAGGGGGTCACCTCAATATATTTCGGGTTTTTTACTTTTAACAAAACAAAATCCTTCTTGTTTTTGGCACTACAAAGTGCAATTACCCTTTTTTTTATCACTTTAACCGCGATTAAATGATCTTAAATGAGTTTTAATTAAATTCATGAACTCCGGCTATATAAGAAAAAACGGGTTTACACTAGCGAGTTCAAGGATTTGATTAAAATCAAATTTAAGGTACCTAGATGACTCTCATAAAACTCCACCGATACGTTATTTTGCAGGAAATGCTATATACACACAAAAAACAACAAATCTGGAAAAATAAAAGAGAAAAGCTATCCAAATAACCGTCGATGTTATTTAAACAAACGTCGATTGAGGAGTTCAGTCCAAAAAAAGAGGAAAAAGGATATAGTTAGAAATATATACAAACTAGCAATCATTCACAGCTTGAATTGAAAGGTGATATACATACGGACACCTAATATATATATACACACACACATAGGAGACAGAAAGGACCTTCACTTTGTCCGAGATATACGTCTTGTATTAGGAAATGGTAAGTATCGAGACAATGGTCGGATGCTCCATCATTTTCGATCTTTTTCTTGAGATGTGCGAAGAAGATCCGAGCCTCGGTTCGGGTCTTCGGATCCTCGAGGCGCTCCAGAAGTGATCTGAATGCACTGTAGGCGGAGTCACCCGACTGTGAACAATGCTTCAAGAATTCCTCTATCGATACGTACAAACCCTTCACTGCAGCCATTGATGGAGAAAAAGCTTCGACCTCGAATAGCGTCGAACAGCGTTGTAGAAGCTGCGAGATTATAATGGATTTCGCGCTATTTTAAAGAGATTTGCATATACAGTCCCTAAACCATTCTATAATGTACAACTTTTGTTCTTCAACTCTTTATTTTTTGCATTAGTGGTCTATAAATCAAATGTTTGTATACTTTCATCCTTTCCACTAAAAACTACTAATACATTATATAATTACTATAAGGGTACTCATGCAATACAGCGATATACATTTCGATTGTAATATTCTATTTTATTATTTGTTTATGTCGATGTTATAATACGATTTTATGTGTTTTTAAGAAAGCAATAATGACTTTATTTTTATATAAAATATAAATTTGAAGATATCATAAAAATTAAAAAAAAAATGCATCAATTTTAATACCAAATCAACTAGTTAAAAGTTCTCATTTTAATTTCTTTAATTTTTTATTATTATTTAATTTAAGTTTAATAACGAAATAATTTATTTTTGGTTTAATAATATAACATTTTATAAAGATAATAATTAAGTATTCTGTTAGAACTCAATGATTATCCTAATTATATTTTAGATTTTTTATATTTAAAATGATATGTTTATCCTGTATTTGATTATGTTTATCTGCAATTAGTTACACGAATTCAGATATGGAGCTTTAATAAGTTATACTTACGCACAATTTACTTGTAATTTTGAGTTTTAAGTAATATGCATTAATAAACAGTATTTTACGCATAAAGTGGTTTTTAAGAGTTTTTATCAAATGCTTTATAATATAGTATAGATATAGAGTTGGGTTCCTATGAGAAACTGAGTTAAGGTGAAAAGCGTAAGAAGGAATCTCCATCTTTGGATGCACATTAGGATGAGATATACCAAGATGCATCATATCAATCCTTGTATCAAACTGTTTCATAAATGGGTTTGAGATTAAAGGTGGTTAAGGGTCCAGATCTCTTTTTACACTTCTCACCTTAAGGCTGTCTGTGGTACATGGGACGTGACATAACAGGATGAGACAAAACTCAGTGTCCCATGTTTGGCACATCATGCAACATAACAAGAACTAACTGTCTCACATTTGGCGTAACATGAGACGAAGACAAAATCCGGGACAATGTGGGACAACATGAGATAAAAGAGACTTTTTCTTGTTCCACCAAAATAGGTCGAACAAGATGGGACAAAAATAAGAGAGAAACTGAAATATTACTAATTTACCCTAGTTTGATATATAACTTTAATATGGTCTTTGTTTTAATGGTCATCACCGCTGGTTTCGGCCGCCACCACAACCGACGGTCACCTCCACCTTCACCTCCTCTTCCACTACAACAACATCTTCCACCACCTCCACAACCACTGTCCACCATCCTCCATTGCCACTTCTACCATAGTCGACCATCGACCACCACTTTCTATTGCCACCACCACTACCATTATTCGCCTCCTCCAACTCCTTCTCTACTACAACAACCTCCTTCACCACCTCCACAACCACCGTCGACCACCAACTACCACCGTCCATTGCCACATTTACAACCACCATCAATCACCGACCACCACCACCTGTTACCACCAACACTACCACTGTTGGCTACCTCTAACTCCTATACCGCAACAACCTCCTCCATGACCTCCATAACCATCGTCGATCATCGACCACCAATGTCTATTGCCACCTCTACAACCACTATCGACCATCGACCACCACCATCCATTGCACCACCACTACCACTGTTGGCCACCTCTAACTCCTCTACTGCAACAACCTCTTCCACAACCACTGTCGACCATCGACCACCACCATTCATTGCCACCTCACCTCCAGCATAAAACACAACCACTACTATCTTCATTATATCATCCACAACTACCTCTTCCACCATTGTCAACCGCAGCCACCACCACAATCCACCATCTTCACGTCCTATATAACCACCATCGGCCCATCGACCACTACCGCCCATTCGCCACTACTACCGTGGGCCACCACCACTTACACCATAACAAAAACCATCTCCACCATAACAAAAACCACCACCACCACTACTGCCATCAATTATATCAAAATTTTCATTCAAATTTGGTATCATTATATATGTATGTATTCATTTACATGAAATTTGTGTAAGAATATTAATAAATTAAATTCTCTAATTATTTACTTTATTCCGTCAAGTATAACTACTATGTAATATTTAAAATCATTAAATAACTTTTGGGGGTAACTTGTCACATTTTTGTCTCGTCCAGTCTTAGTCGTACCAAACATCAGACATACACTTGTTTTGTCCAGTCCAGTCTAGTCTAGTCTTGTCCAGTCCAGTCTAGTCTTGTCCAATCCTATCCAGTTTTGTTCAGTTCTGTCATGTCTAGTCCTGTCCAATCATGTCTGCGTACCAACCGCTACCTAACTCTTCTTTTCACACAATCTTTCGCCAAGTGACATATTGGTTGCTATTAAGAAAACCGAGATATTTATATAAATGACCATAAACTTTAATTAATTTTGTTATATCCTCATGAGTATAAAGTCAATATTATTTTAATAGGTGATGAGATCAGGGATTTAATTAAAATTTTATTTAAAGTTATACACCTAAAACCCAAAACCAGTACTCACGAGTCACGATGGCCTTGATCATCATATTGGTGATTATACAATAAAAAACAAAAGAAAAGTAAAAAAACTCAAATATATCTCATTCACAAGTAAGGTATATAGATCAAATATATGCAAACCTTTCCTCTACTCCCAAAGAAAAGGTACGTTGTTTTCATAAAGATCAAATTAACTATTTAAAAGTTATTGTTTTTTATATAATTTGTTTAATTCATAAAGACCAAATTAACTAGCGAAAAAGTTTTGGTTATACAACAAGTGACAAATGATAGTCAAAATTTTCTTTTTGCTTATTATGACGACTAGAATGGTACTCACGCAATACAACGAGATATATCTTTATTTTAATATTTCATTTTTTTTGTCTGTTGATATAATATGGTTTATGTGGCTTTGAGAAAGATAATATTTTTACTTTTGAATAAAAATAAATTTGAAAAAATATATCGATATTAATACCAAATTAACTATTTAAAAGTTATTGTTTTTTATATAATTTGTTTAATTCATTTTTTATTATAATTTAGTTTAGATCAAATAGTGAAGTAATTTATTTTTGGCTTAACAATAATTTTTTTATAAAGATAATGATTCTGTTAGAACTCGATAATTATTGTAATTATAATTTAGATTTTTTATGTTTTAAAATGAGATGTTTATCCACTATTCGATTATGTTTATCCGCAGTTAGTTAGACGAATTCAAACATGAAGCTTTAATAAGTTGTACTTAAGCATAAATTACTTGTAATCTTGAATTTTAAGTAATGTGCATCAATATACAGTACTTCATGCATAAAAAAAATGATTTTTAAGAGTTTTTGTCAAATGTTTTATAATATAATATAGATTAATAGTGACTACTCTATTAGCAATTAGGCAACGATCAATGTTGCAAAAGTTTTGAACAATACTTATTTCAGTCCTAAGAGATGATCGTGACCTAAATACTGTCATGAAGCTTTATATGGTAATTTGTTTCAAACACATTTGTCATATATTAGGGAGCCCCAAATTTCCAAACCATTTACAATATGGCTTTAAGAATTTAACCTCAATAAAAGCTTATTAGTGGGTGTTGGTTTTTAACATAATAATATGCAATCAAATAAATGAAAACCTTAGCATATATACAAGCCATGAAAACGACAATAAAGCAAACTAGTCATGTCAAATCAATAAAAAGCTATTAACCAAAATTAAGTGGAGATGCACAAAATCAATTTCTTTTTTTTATTACAATTAATAAAAGAAATCCAATGTAACAACCTATTTGGTTAATTATAAGAAATAACAATACATTTTTTATTATTATATTATCATATTTTTATTTTTTAACAAAACAATGTAATTCTAACAGATTCTTACTAAAACATTATAATTTGATAAAATCTAATGATTATAACAATGGATAAACGATTATCATTTAAACGAATTATCTTATTATTTACTTTGCTTATGTGGTGCAATTAGATGAGTTTTTGGATGCACATTATAACATTGTTAAATAGATATATCTAACAAATACTCGTGTACTTCATTAGATTAGTCACCATGTCAATTATGTGAAACCAGTGGCAGCCTAAGAATTTGAGTCGTAGTTGATATCTGTTATTTGGAAAACACAAACTACTTTTTTTTGGAAAGATGACAACATATCTTGCAAACTTTATTAGAAACAAAATATTTCATTCCTCACAAAATAAGTGTATACAATTGAAATGATATACACTTTTAGACACTCGTAATTATTACAATTTTTTAGTTAACCACATGACAACTTTACCCTTATTTTTTCCCTATTTATAACTCTTAAGTATTGGTGCATTAATTAAAGATATATTTGAGAATTTAGTTATCTATTTTTAAAACAGGACACTTATCTTAGGATAAATAAAAATAAAAATATGGATACTTATTTCGAAACGAATGAAGTAAGATAATACACCTAAATGGCATGGAACAAACCAACCAAAAGCAAGTTCAATCAATAACTAGGACATGACCCAATATTGATCTCGAGAGCAATAGACTCAATTACTAACAAAGTTGGTTGGAACAACCATCATATCAATTAACTAAAAGCCAAAATTGTTGGTCCCAACCGGATCCACAAGAGTTTAGAGGTGATCAGTTTGTAGAAGGGGAGGATGAATACAAACGTAGTAACTTTCACTTATATATATATATATATATTGATATAGAAGGATCAATACAGATTTTTACAGATTGTTTGCGGAATAGACAAGGTAAAGAAAAACCTATCTAAAACAATCTAGAAATACACATAGATACACTTAGCAAATATAAGAGATTTACCGAAGAAATAAGACTAGAAGTGTGTCCTTCTTGGGTATGCTTCT